TATAATATATATATATATATATATATATATATATATATATTATAAAGTACGAGAGAACCTTTTATACATCTTAAAAGTCTCTGCTGCGAAGTAGTATCATCGGAAAGAACGCTACTAAGGCTATCAGATAATAAGCTTCAGTGCATTTCTCTCCCCTTTTCTCAGTTCTTTCGAAATTTATTTTTACCCAAACGCTGTGAGAATAGCGATTATGATGCAACGCGACGGAGAACTCTAAACATGATAATATATATAATTCGCAGTCAAATGCACTCTCGACATTCAATTGAAGTCTTTGACTCGGAGACTCGACATTATTCGTCAAAGCCTCGATTGTCGATGAACACACGATTCCTGAGGCCGCTGTCCGAAATGTAACCGGTGGCCATTTTGTACTGGTTCGCGTATATTACGCTTTTTTCGTTGTCATTCTCCTTGACATTATCTTCTTGTGCATTCTGTTCATTTTTATCACATTTAAGGCTCTTTTGCTTGTTTGATGCCTTCTTCGAATCCTTCTTCCTGTACGTTTCATTGTAGAAGTTGCGGAAAAGAAAATAGAACATCACGGCGTGCATGCCAATCCACCAGACGAAAGCCTTCGGGTAATTGCAATCGATAAAGAGCAATTGGAACGCGTGGATCATTACGAGAACAAACTGGACCATCTGCAGGGTGGTCAGATATTTCTTCCACCATAGATATGGCTGTATTTGTGGTCCGAGCGCCGCCAGAAGATAATACGAGTACATTATGATATGAACAAAAGTATTTAGAAAACCGAAGAAGGTGCTGTGACCACCTGCAAGAAATAAAGACCATTAGTATATTATGGAAAGACTATGTTTATTGATTTTTATTGTATCAAATATTTTCTAAAATTCATTGTAAATCGATCCATGAAGAAAATCCAAAGTGATATACTTAAAATTAATCGAAGAAATAAAAAAAAAATTTTAGATGAAAGAATTAAAAACTTTCTGAGCTAATTATTTAAATAAATGTTAAACTAATTTCGCGTAAGATAAATTAAAATTTGCAAAATAAAATATTTTTTACTTTTGACGACCGTAAAATATCATAAATTTGAATTTCAAGGTTATCGATATTACGTTCTGAAAAAAACATTAAATAAATCGTATGCTTTTACCGGGGGTGAATTTAACTCCGAACCATACGGATATGGGCATACAGCCGTGATGGATGACGTGAAGGGTGGTAATGTGATTGTTCTTTTTCCTCAATACGAAAAAGATCGTGTCCGTGAACTCGATGAACTTGGAGATATAATACCACCAGCAGTTTTGCGCCATATGCAATGCGATCGGATCGTTTGAGTAATCGACCGGCTGACATCTGAAAGAATATTGTCCTCCCCAGCCGCCGATCAGAGCCTGCAAAAGCAGCAAGAAAAAAGATTTAATACCTTGACCCTGAGTTTTCCTTTCGCATGTGAAGCTCGTTAGGCCACTTACTTCTCTGAACAGCCACGTGGAGAATACGACTTGGAAGAGGTTATACCATATCATCACTCTTCTGAGATCGAAGGGCTTTCGATTCTCCATCAGTTTCGGTCCCAGAACTTTAACGAAATAGGCGTAAAACAAGCAGATCGCCAACGTGAGAAAAGGACCGCTCATCATCGGCCAGTTGTTGACCCTCGGATCGCTCTTGTTGTCCATGAGGTCTCGATAACCGTCGTAAATTATTTGTATCAATTGCGCCATCTAAAAGCAAGGTGAAATTCCTTATCACCCTTTCACCCTATCATTACTAAATATCATTGAATATCGTGTCACCAAGGAGAAGTTATTATTTCTGATCACACATGGGGTGTAACGCACTATGTGCGACTCCGTCTAGTTACAAAACTAATGCTGTTTTACGATAGAGAAAAAAACAATGTCATTATAGTTCTAACTATTGATATTATTATGTAAGATTCTCCTGCTGATTATTATAGATATCGAGATAAATGACTATATTTATTACTCGAGCAACGCGGTTCAAGTGTATGGTTTAAGGAACACGCTTGTTGCAAAACTAGGAAATATATAAGCTGCCAGAATATCGTATTTCTTTATATTATATAATTGATAATTGTCGATGAGTCGATGAGTTGTCAAGTATGATGCCTACCATGCGTGTGAGATTATGGCATGCACGATAGAAAAATCCTAAAATATCTATATCAAATCCAAGTTTAGAATACCGATCATAGCTCAATTAGTTAATATAAGGCTTCGACGTTGTATACGTTTAATTAAGAAAAGATTGTTTATTTTATACTTTAAATAGAGGAAGAGAGATCTGTATACCGGTTTTAATTAAAATCTCGCTTTTTAATCTTTTTCCATCAGCACTCGATATAATATGAAAAGAAAGTGTCGAGAGAGTTTTTCAAAATAAATATTTGATGAAACAGAGACGTGTTTAAAGATCAGTCGCGTTTAAAAAGCCCAACAGAAGCCCCAATTTTTTTCCTTTTTTTTTTATCCATGCCGTAGACCGAATTATGATTATTCAGCGAGAATTAAGAAAACTTGAAATTAGTTACGCACTGTCACGTTTTTTTTTTTTTTTCTCTTTCTTGAAGTATCGTCACCTTGAGATAGGCCGCGAAACGCGCGAGAGAAGCAAACGGAACGGTGTATGCACCTCGAATGACTTCTTGATTTGAATCACGGGGCACGCGACTCGGTCTCGGTCTGCGGCACGCCCGGCGCAAAAGTTCGAGGATCTATGGATCGCCACGATCTCTCCTTGGAAGGTTAAATCGCTGTCCTTTCACCGATCAAGGCAGATCAGAAATGCAACAGTGATCCAAATGGTTTTTCCACGGAGTGGAAATGCACACGTGCACGCTGCTCCCGCGATCTTTACTCCTACCAATCGCGATCTGCGGAACTTATTTTTCAGCCTTGAGAAATTGCTGACGTCAAAGGCGATGCTGTATTTCCCAAAAATTTCCATAAATCATATATTGGAGAAACATGAGTGAGTCCATTAGTCTCGTACTTAAAAACAGAAAGAAACATAATTGCCTCGGAAAAGGCAAAAAAAAATGCGCGTGTAAAAAATGATTTCTTAGAATAGATTAAGGATATGTCTTATGTAATTAAAAATAAAGATATTACCAGATGTTATCGTTTCAATGATTATTGTTTTGTAACGTACAATTTTAAAAAATGGTTATCGTGAATGATTTTATTTTTCGTAACGCTCTATGATAATCATTTCGTAAATGATTTTGTTTCATTAATACTCGGCAGTGGTACTTTCGATGCATTAAATACGTCAATATTTGATTTGCGTTTCCGCGACGTAAAAGATATATGCTCCTACGGTAGCAACATTATGACAGATATTGATTATCTGTTTGCGTTTTACTAATATTTTTCAAGGTGTATCAAATGGATGTTCCGCTAATTACACATTCCTTAAGCAAATTAGAAAGATCTTTTAAGCAAATTAGATCAGATCTTTTGTTAGATAATGTCAAAAGTGAGTTGCCTTTGAAATTAGCGATTAAAAATAAAAATTTTTTTTATTTTTAATCTTTTTTACTAATCTCTGAGAACAATTTTATTTGTTGAATAAATGAAATGTTTAATTTAAGATTCTTGATTATCATCTTGATTATTCAAAAATAAATAAATAATCTCCATTAATATTCCTGATGAAAAATCATTTTCATAGTAAAAAGGAAAGATCTATGCCATTTGTATTTGATCAAAATGAAGAAAACGTAAGATTTTACGCACATTGAGAAAGACAATTTTTGTTACTATTGCAACCTCATTACCCTACAACAAGAACGGACAAGAAAGTTCAGGACTCAGGGGGAAGTTGCCAAATATTTGCAAGCTAAAAACCAACTCTTTTTTTGTGCTCTAGCAATTTGATGCAGAACGATCGGTATTCGTTAATGCCATTTATTTCGAAACCGGTCGGTCGAGTTCCCTTTGCCAATTCGATTCGTCACGTTTTATTAAACAACCTAACTTTCCCGCGGCGCGCGGTTAGTACTTAGTCAAATTCGGCGTCGCTCCTCTTTCGTTATCCCGACCCCTCGGTCGGGAGGAGAGGCCACGGGGACGGGGGGGACGATGTTCCTCTCGTTGGATTTCGCGATCCGCGACTTCCACGAAACATTCATTATTCCGCGACGAAAAACGACGGCGCCGCCGCCGTCGACTCGTTCAACCCCGCGCCGCGCCTTTCGCAACTTCGCGCGCTCGCTGCAGCAGAAAGGAAAAGTAACCGTCTCGCTAAAGAACTGCATGCGAGCTGAGAGAACTCGTTTTTCCCGCCGCGGAAAAATGCGGCCCCTCACACGCGTCCCGCCTGCAGTAGTACGACACTCGTCTTGCAATCCTGTTCGCTCCTCCGCTCCGCCGGTGCTAAAACAGACTCGACACCAGGCACCTGCGGCAGCACGCCGACTCTATTGCAATTAATCCCGAACATATTTTTAAAGATACGTAACGTTCGATCATAGGCGTCGAGAAGAGCTTGTTATCCCCGATCGTATCTACGGGACACTCGATAGACACCTAAGACACCCATGACGCCTATCTCCCGAGGTCGAGGACTAAATATGATCTTTTCCATTCCCTGCGACGTTATTCCCGCGCGGCCGCTCGCCGCAATCAATCACGGGCGCAGATGATCTCTCTCTCTCCCTTCTCGGATATCTCCCGGGTAAAAGTACATTATCGAGGAGATGTGTGTGTGTGTGTGTGTGTGTGTGTGTGTGTGTGTGTTATACAAAGTTGCAGTGACGTGCGCTAGAGCAATCAGAGACTATAACAGTTTGTATAATCACGTCCCGCGATGTAGAGTGACTTTCTTGCGACTTACGATCTCACTTTCCTCGCGAGTGTAATACGAACGAATTTCCTTGATTATAGGTTGCCCTTACGTTGTATAAGTGCTGATCTCTGCCATAAGAAATAGTACTAGCTGCTACCGTTAGCCCGGTTGTCGTAAAATACCTCGATTCGCAAAACGCCCCGCGGAACGCTTTCCGCGATCGCAAATCTAACGTTACGGCCGATTTTCTGGCCGATCGCGCCCGGCCAGTAAAATTCGTAAAATTGTTTGTCCGATTATACAAACAATTTCTGTCTCGTTTGCGCGCGTCGCGTAAACACGTCTTGACGTATCGGTCGTTAATCAGATCGAAAATACGATAATCGCCGCGGTAATTTCCATAACACCGTCATCGATGCGACCGCATTCTCCTTGCGCGGAGCCACGTGTCGGGCAGAATTTTCCTCGTCATTCCTTCGAAAAAAACAAAAAAAATTAACACATTCTTGAAACCCGTGATTTCATAAAATTATACCCGCATACTTTATTCGAACGATTGATGCGAACTTTGACATGGGAAATGAAAACAAAAGATACAAAAACAAATTTAAAATGTGAAGGCTTCGCGGTCGGCTCCGTGATGCAATTCGCTACGCTCTCTTAAGGTTGCTATTTGCGTGACGAGTCAGGTGCATCCTCCTTACACTTATTTAATAACGAAAGTAAGCTGCGACGCTTTTGAGCACGGTTGTTACGGCATGCGCCCCGTCATAATGTCACGTACACCCGTATCTGTATCGCAATTTCGCGCGGGCACGCTTACTTTAATTGACTGTTAATTACGCTCTATGTTTTTATGTTCGAGCAAAGGAATTCGCTCGACCTTAAGGAATGAAGAAAAGTGTTTTCTCGCGGCACACTAATGTGTCCAAGAGAAAAAGAATATGTGAAGGACGATTGAGAGTTCTATGAGAGTTCGTGTTCAGGAGTCAAAGCATGAAATTGCAAAGTCGATCTTGAAATGAAAGAGTACATTGTTCGATTTTATAGAATAATAATCAATTCAGAATTTAATTATTTAATTTGTCAAAGAGAAATCGAATGAATAATTTATTTACATATATACGTGATAACTATACATCTGATAACTATACATATCATTACGATATCATGTTCATGAAATATAATTTTGCATAATTACATATCATTATAAATACAAAAATCATATTTCTGTGAAAAAAACTTTGAATAAAATTGTAATTTAATACAATTTGTAATAGAAATTTGTGATGGAAATTCGTCTGGGAAATTCCTTTCATGTGAAAAGAGAACAATAGTGGTAAGTATTGAAAGATCAAAAATGCTGAAAAAGTGAATCGATAATCGGTATGCTTAAAATAGAAAATAAGTAGATTAATATTCATTGGATTGATAATAATGCAAACACTTACTAAATTACAATTATTTATAGTATGAATAAGAATTTTGTTTATCTCTTTTACCAGGAAATATTCAGCAATATTTATTACAGTTATTAAAATGTGTATCATTCTTAATTAAACATTTTTTTATATTTTTCTATTTTTTTTTCTTATTAAGTTTAAGTATTAACTTAAATTTAATATGAAAAAATTGTAATATACAAATTTAATAATTTTTTCTTTTTCGAGATTATATATGAATTAGTTTATAACAGAGTTTAATCAATTTTTACTTATTAAAAGATAAGATTTTGAAAGAAGAGGATAGATATACGTAATAAAATTCTTTGAAAATAAATTATTGTAAGCTAAATCAAATAGTATCAACCAATTATTGCTATAAATAGAATTCCCAACTATACTATACATTGAATTAAGTGTCAGTATTACATTAACGTAATACGATAATGAATACACGAGGCTACTAAATTAGTATAGTCAGTTTAATATAATATAATTAAAACTTATTTTTATTATTAATTTTTACACATAAATATTCCACATATTATTTGGCAAACATGACTAAGTATAAAACTTAAGTTTCAGAATCGAGTGATTACCATATTATTATAATATTCTCTGAATCACAATATTTCTATTTTTTTTTAAACGAAGAATACCATCCCAGCATTTCATACATTTATTTTTTTAATGTATTTATGCTATTTTTGTTGATAAAAATTATATATTTTTTATATACTTATAAATTAAAACTTTACATGATTAGAACAAAGTTAGAATATCAATTTTAAGTTTACAAAAATATAAATTTTTTTTTTAATACATTTCTTGCAAGTGTTATTTATTATTTTAATCTTGTCTATTGCACATATCATTTAGTAAAAGTGACTTTACGTTAATTATAAAATTTAAGTTTAATAAAAGTTAAACGATTACCATATTATTCTTTGAATCACAAGGTTTTTATTTTTTTTTAAATAGTGAATACATTTGAGATTAATTATATCTTTTTATTAACAAAAATTATATCTTTTTATTAACATAAAATACAATAAATTAATTTTTTAAATGTATTTTATGCTAATTGTTAAAAATATCTTTTATATATGTAAAGTTTTATATGATTAAAACATGAATAAAATATTAAGTAAGAATATTAATTTCAGACTTACAAAAAAAAAAGAATATAAATTTCTTTCAATACAATTTTTTGCAAATATATTTATTACTTTAATCTGGTGTTTTATATACGTCTTGCACGTACGCGCATCAAACATATTAATAGAGCCGGTGTTCGTCACGGTATATGCACTCAATGTAATAATTCCTGTAATATATTCCCGAGTAATTACCTCTATATGTATAATTCGAATATCATATACGTATCAAGAATCAAAATTTAATAGCGCACAATGTGGTGCAATGTGCGCCTGTTCCAGTTCGTATCAATACATATTAATACATATCTTATTAAGCAATTTTTTTCACGAAATACTGCTTCTACAATTCGCCAAAATAAAACAAAATATTTACAATCGTAATCGCGTTCTTGTGTGTGACACGAGAAACTTATCGGCGGTTGCTGGTTTACTAATGCGGATCTCTGGAATCTGAATACTTCTGTACTCAAAAGATAAAGAATTGCGTAAGTACGCGGTGATAACGATGATTCGCAGGCGAAGCACGTAAAATCATGGTAATACTCACTGTGCCACTCTTCGCGTACTTCGATCGTTGGGAAATCCTCCCGGTGCGAAAAACAGGCGCGTGCAGAAATTTATTTACACTACAGTAACGGGAATTGGATTTGCGAGTGCGACCATGTATCGTGAAAAGTGAGAAAAAAAAATGTAAGCTGAGAATAAAAGGGAAATTAAAGGCGCGAGAAACGAACGGGTGTGGACACCTCTTCCGCGAGGCACCAGTCGATAAACTGAGACCGCACCGCCATCACGGGGCCTTATATCGTCTCTTACAATCATGTAGCACCTCCGTGTGCATGTCGTAGGTTACCTTCCCCAATCCATTGCACTTTGCTATTATCCTCGTGGAGGATAAGAGAAGAATGAAGACGTCTTGTCTTCGCGAGGATTCGATTCCACCGAATTATGACTCGATTATATTGACGATGATTCGGCCAAGTTTTCCTCCCGAATCGATGGTGTAATCGCAACGTATGAAAGAGGGTGCGGAAACATTGGCGAAATTTAATTGAACCGTACGATTGACAAGGACATTTGCGTACAACGCGCAATCGCATGGCAATTAAATTAGAGTTTACTTTTATTTACATTCTAAACGCGAGAAAGAGAGGTATAACGACAGCTTGAAAGTAATAACGAGGTTATGCCTTTGCGATTTTATGAGTTTTTTGATAATTAATTTGTGTAAAAAAAATTTCCATCGAAATTAGAGAGCAACTTACACTTAATTTGATTTTGTTTTAATGTTATTTATAATGTATTATTGTATTTTTAAAGAAAGATATTTTCAAAAATTTCTATGTCATTTTATATCGATCAATGTTAACAATAATTATTTATAATGTATAAAATATTATTCTCTCTCGTACAATCACTTACTAACTTAACGGAAATAATAAAAAAAGAAAATTTAAGAATTTTTAAAAAGGTAAAAATTTTTTGAATTTTTAGAAATTTTTAGAAAAAAGTAATTTTCTTTTTTTGTTCTTTGAAAATGTTAAATATGTATCAACTTGTAAACCTAACGACAATTGATGTACAATAAGTTGTTTTTTTCTTAAAGCATAAAGAATGAAATATCGTTTTTATTCATAATTTTTACATTGTATCATTTTTATTATTACTCAGATAACATTCTGACGTTACATATTATTAAAGTGACGATAAATAGCATCAGCTTGCTACATAGATATATACCAGAGAATTATATAAATATAATTATAATGAATTATTGTTTCAATTGTATTGTAATTCGATATCTAAGCATTCGATATCTAAGCTAAGCAATTAGTTTTTACCAGAGTGTAGAATGTTTATGATGCACTTAATCGACGTAAATTGAGTCTCTAATTATGTTGAAAATTTACTTTTAATTTAATTATTTTTTAGTTCTTAGTTTAATATATGTTTCATGGGTCTAAAAGCTATATGTTAATAGTTAATGTTTAAAATAAAATATTGACAATGTTTAACTATATAATTTTGATATTAATACTGAAACTTTCTTAATGTAAAATAAATATCTAAGTTAAAGATTTTTAAGTTTAATAAAATAATAATTTAGAATAATCTTATAGAGTATATAAATATTTTACATATATAAAATATGCCTTGAAAAATCTAAATTTTTCAATATTTAGTTCAAAATTATTTTTCTTAAATTTAAATTAAACGTGTATTAAATATTGCATATCACGTTATACATTAATAACTTATATAATATAATTTTAAACTAATATCGATTACTATTTTTGGAAAATGTTTACTTTGTGATTTTTACCGTCCTCTTGTGTTAACAATCGTCATAGTCCAATTTTTTTTTTAAGCAAGTCACTTTATATTTACATGTTAATAATCGACTTTGATGACTTTCTTTATTTTACCTAAAACATTTTGCGTGCATTATACATACTTATTAAGGATGCGATTACTTAATTTTGTCCCGGAAGCTAGTCATGATGCGCATATATTTGTAACCATAGAGTTCACAATGACTCTTTTATTTCCTTACGAACCTTCTTTACGAACGCTATTAGCAATCTTTCGTAAGGACTGTATCAATGCATAATTTATTCTTTACGTGCTGATAATAAAAAATATTAAATGACATTGAACAATTTTCTATGATGTTTTACTATTTATATTTTAAATGCACCCCGTAACAAATGATTGAATTTATAGTAATTTAATTTCGAATGCCAAATAATAATTTAAATATAATTCTTTCCTGAGTTTATTTTTATAAAATATGTAATATATAAAATATATAAAATATAATAAAATATATTATTATATATAAAGTATATAAAAATATACTTATAAATATACGTAATATACTTATAAATATACTTATAAATTTGCATCTTTTTGGTTAGAATATTGTTAACAACAGTTACTGTTGTATTAACTGCTTAAAATAAATTTATACAGAGCAACTTAACTAAACTAAACTACAACTAATATAAACAAAATGATATTAATTTCAAGCATTATCTTTTTTCTTGATACCTTCATTAATCTTATTTAATTATTAATGATTTTCCATTTTCATTTAACATATCGTTTTTATGTATATATTCATACATTCATACACGTGGCTTATTATTTAATTTTTTCTACTATGATATCTCTTTTTTATATTGTCCATATTTACATTTGAAAGATAATATTTACAATGAGAAAAAATTTATCTTATAATATCTGTTATCTTATGATATTAATAAAATCAATACATATATTTGTTATAATAAATATTGTTAAAAATGTGAATAGAGTAATTTAACAGTAATTTAATGAATACTGTTTTTTTTATTTCCTATTTCTAAAATGATTCATAATTTATTATTAAGCAGGAAAACGATTTACGTAATACGATGTAAAATAATCTTTGTATTTTTCCTCTCTTCTATATTGATCCTCTCTTGATATGTTGACATGTTTTTGCTGCAACACAAAATGGAAGGTGATCTCAATTTAAAACTGTTAAAAAGAAGTTGTAAATGGTAATAAAGGAATGGAGATAAATTGAAATACCAATATCGGATTCTTGAGTGTTAAGTAAAATGCATTACGATGTCAATTGATGACAATTAATATTTCATTATTACTATTTGAATTTCTAGTGGATTATACACGCATTATACACGTTAAAATTTTATTCAAGTTGTTTTGCGCCTACTTCTCTGTTTTTCTTTCTCTGATGTTCATATTTTTTTTAAGAAATAACACAACTTTATACAACTCTCAATATACAGCTTTTGTACGACAAATTAAACTAACTTTTTTATAATTAATTTTCTAATTACGATTAATTTTTATAATTATATTATCAGCAACATTGTGGAAAGTTTCTTTCAGGAGAAAACAGTATTAAACGATACACGGAACGGGAATGTGGATAATTAATGAATATGTAAAGGATTGATAATTGTGAAATGATTGCGACAAGGTCAGTGAAGCCTTGGTCGCACCTGTGGACCAAACGTCGCATTTTTGCAGTGACTGGACTGGTGTTTTTAAGTGGGTGTCGGATCATCGTGTGTCCGTGACGCGTCACAATCGTAAATGGCGTATATGTTGTCGATGTTAGAAATCGGCATTCAAAATGCGTGGCTAACTATCCGAGCCACTCCGCCACAAGATCGAGACGCAATCGAGACGAGTGCCATTAGCTATTTATATAATTTACTACTATTCGCGATGCGCACAACGAACTTTGGCACTGGGTGGTCCTTATTTGTAAGAGACCGCGCATAGCGAACAAGCCCAGGGTCTGCGTGGCGTGAAAGGATAATGAGCATGGTGCGCTTCTTCGCATCTGTTTGGGTATTCGAATCGCGTCGGACGGAAGCTGAGGAATAGCTGAAACTACATGAGATTTAGCGAGAACAATTTTGTAAGTGTCGGTCCACAATAAGTATTTAATCTTTAAGCCGTAAGAAATTGACCAATCATAGTTCGATTATTCTTTTCATATTCGATTATAATTGGTCAATTTCTTACGTCTTAAAGCTTAAATCACCTATTGTGGACCGACACTAACGGTAACGATAAGAAATACATAACAAGTTATAAGTAATTTATAACTATGTAATAAATTTTGCACAGGTTTCGATAGAGGAATGAATTACAGAAAAGAGTATTAGAACGAATTAATCATCTTGTTTTCTGGTATAATTATCTTATAGAAATATTTTTTCAAACACGTACAATGATATTTTTATAAGTAAAAGAAACAGAATTATGATTTCTGAAAACACATGTAATTGTTGTCGTGCGTTTATATATCTTGTGCATCAAGTGATAAGACACATTTTCTTTCTGGAAGTGTGTGTAAACGAACGATTATTTATCGCATCTGACTTAAAAACTCAAAATAATGAAAAATTTAGTTTACTTTTTGACACTGCCGTGATCACGCGTATGAAATATACTAGTGATATGAAAAAATGATTTTAAAAATCAAAAATTAAAATCGCCATAACAAACTGTTCGCAAGTAATGAAAGAATATTGTACTTTCAAATTTTATATTGGAGAATTTTTTTAAATATATGAGTTATTTAATTTATAAGTTAAATTATCATAATCAATTTTTCTATATTTCGTTAAATATTCATAGGTTTATATATCACATTATTATTATAATTAAAAATGATCCAAAAAAAAAACATTTCATCTTTGTCATTTATTTTATAACAGACTGCATACAATTAAGGAAATTTTCTGCATACAATTAAGGAACAGGAATAAATATTAAATTTTGAAAATAATTAAATTTTGAATAATAAATTAAGAATAGAGATTAAATGTAACGCAAAAATGGACATAAGATAGTTATATCTTATACTAATTTCATTTATTTTGCGTTACGTTTAATTTTTATTCCTAATTTTTATTTCTCAAATTTAATATTTATTTCTGTTCCTCCATTGTGCGCAGGACCTTGCCATTTATGGCAGCTTTTATTTTTTCTTTTATTTTTTTTTTTTTTTTTTTTTGTGAGTTAGATGAATCGACGAACGAATCATGAATTAACGAAACACACGTCGTACAAAATTAATGTCACCGGGCGTTGAACAGATAAGGAAGCGATGTCGCATCCGCATAGTATTCTCTATTCGCGTGCCGAAATGGGAGACTATAGATCCAAGAGACAAAGGCTCGCTAAGCTCGCAAAGAAAATTCTTTATCGATATAAATCGAGCCTGTCAGCTGGGGCGACCTTGGCCGTGCCATTCCGCGACTCGCTAATTGTCGAGTGATTATCGCTCGCGGAATTAAAATTCGCGTGGTGCGCGAATGACAAGTGCGCGTGTTCGAGTTTAAGCCGCCGTTTGCACGCAGGAGATGTATACGCACGTTGCTACAATACGTGCTGTTTACCTCGCGCAAA